TAGTGAACACTGCTGGCATTTATTTCATTTCACTCACTGTCAGGTTGACGTGTACATCTATGAAAAAGCTGGGATCAGTTTTATTGATGTGAAAGGAGGACTGAGCACTAAAGCCCTGGCTAATGCCATCACCAAAACACATGAGGGAAACAAGGTACAACTTGGAGTGTTGTTAAATGTTTTTATATTCAGCTTTATTGTTTCATAAAAACATGAAGAATCTTGAAGCTTTTTGTTAAAATTGTGAAGTCTCTCTAAACAGTAGATAATCTGGCTTGTCATTTTCTCCTAAATGGCTATTAAATGTCATAATTACCAAGGATTATGACTTTGGTGTTGTGAGGTTTAAGTTAAAATAGTTCATGTATTTGAAGAGTGCATAAACCCTGGTTTAWATGGTTTGCAGGCCTGGGTGTATTTCTATCCAACTGTTGATCAGCAGAAAACTTGTGACAGCTGTGGAGAACAAGGTATGAATGGAGATCTGGTTATTGTTTATGACGTCAACAGAGACTCTGGACTGGGAGACATCAAGGTAAAAAGTTTTATGTAATGGTATTTTTCTTTTTTCATCAACAATATTTTCATTTCAACTATCTCTTTCTTAGACTTCAGATGGATACTTTGTTCATCACTTTGCTCCATCTAGTCTTCCCCGAATACCAAAAAACATTGTTTTTATTATTGATCAAAGTGGCTCGATGCACGGCAGAAAAATGGAACAGGTGAAGCTTTCAAACATTTTATTAACATTATTTATTATCAAGTACACAATGTATGAACACACCTGATTTATTTTTAATTGTGTTATTTTTATTAAACAGACTAGAATTGCCTTGATCCATATTTTGAATGACCTGGCTGAGGAGGACTTTTTTGGTATTATTTCATTTGATAGCCAAATTTTTCACTGGAAACGGGAACTTGTTCAAGCCACCAGCGCAAATTTGGAGGGAGCCAAGGAATTTGCACAGAATATTATGGACAGAGGAGGTGAACTTAAAAAAATTTTGAAAAGGGAACATTTGGCTATGGTATGACATTGTATTATAACAATTTTACTTCATTTTCAGCTACAGACATTAATGCAGCAGTGTTGGAAGGAGCSCGTATGCTGAACGCACATCCCAGAGAAGGTTCAGCATCTATCCTGATCCTTCTCACAGATGGAGARCCAACTACAGGTTGGAAAAGGATAAATGATTTTAACATATAAAATAGGGATGCAACTTATCTWTTAATGAATTAATCTAAAGCTGATTGATCTTATCGAATGTCTAACGGCCATTTTCCTAAAAACCCGACATTTCTCTTGAATCAATTGTCTATCTTCTTTTTTCTTCTTTTTTCCCTTTTCAATCTATGAAAGTAAGTGCTTTTCTTTACACATTAAATAAAAAAATACAGTATTTTATTTTATATAATTGATTGTGCCAGCTGTGTTAAACACTGATAGAAAAAAACAGAAAATTGTGGATTTCTCGCACATTGTAAAACTTGGACATATTTATAAAATATAACAAAACAGGAATCTATTCGGTTGCTAGTTGGAAAAAAAAGGAAAGACAAACGTAAAACACTTAATCCACTCTGAACAGAGAAATGTAAAATTAACATTTAAACACAGGGTAACATTTTAATCTAAAGATTTACTCAAAAACAAACTATAAACATGACCTCAGAGGGATAAACATACAAATTAATACTGGAACTGTTTTTGCTTACTGCATGATCTGACGTCAGTTACCTACTGTTCATTTGATTTGTTCAATGGCCAGGTTARGTATGTCACACAGATGAGATTAACTTCATGTTAATTATTTATAGTGACTAACTGTTTTGTTTTGTTTTGTTCTTTCACATGGAATTAATCTCTACAAGAAGAAGCTAACGCTAGCTAAAGAGCTTACGACTGTATCTGTTGTCCTGCTCTGTTGTCTTTAGCTTCATACTGCTGAATAGTCTGGCACAGCCTTCGGTACTTTTCCTTTGAGTTTGGTGTAGTGCATTATTATTGTTGTGTTGCAAATAAAACTAAATAAGATTTGCGTGTTTAATTATGATGCCGCCCACATGGAGGTGGCCGGCTCTCTACTCAGCTCAACGTAGTTATTATTGTTATTAGGTGTAAGCTAATATAAATGGATCATCTCAGTAGGCTATTAATGAAATGWCTATGGTTGTGTGATGGGAAACAGATTTTTTACTGTGTTCCTAAAGGCAGCATTACTCCATCTCCTTCCGCAGCTGAGGCACAGAATGACAGGAGCCTGTTTGGAAAGTTGAGCTTCAAAAAAAGAAAATAAAGCTTTTTAGACAAATCAACAACTCCAATTGTCACCTGGGACTTACAGTATAGCTGCAGCACGTAAAGTTAAGAAATAGCCACTTCATGCCTAACATAAGGTGCTGCTGCCGTAGCAACGTCATTCATTATATTAAAATCAAAATAAATGAGGTTAATTCAGACTTGTCCATGTAAACAATGAACAGTCTGCACAGAAATGACAACAATAATTAGCTATGTGGTGACCACGACATAATTATCGTGTGGGCATTCGTTAGCCATTACGTGGGCACGCATTCTTATCCCGTGGCCACGTGATAATTTTTTTTCATTCCAAATCACCGGACGGGCTCCGTACATTTCTATTTAACTTTGACTTGATTTTATTCCATGTTTTCATTGTTCAGAATAAAATAAATAAATAGAAATCTGTCCAGATACATGGAGCTCATGGATAGAGTGAGTTTGATTGATGAGAAGTGTAAATATAAACCATTCTGACATCCTATTGAATTGAACTCACTCCATCACACCTGTATGACACAAATCACATCACATTCCCGCAGGACATACTGTAGCAGATGCCTGTAGCCTAGAATGAAGATGATCGTGGCTGAAACAAGTCTAGTCGGTTAATTCCAAAGTTTTCAACATTAACATTTTTATTTGACATTATACTCATTATTGGGGGGGGGGGGGCTATAGAACCCTAAGCTTTTATCTTTAATGTTTTTTTAAGTGTTTGTTACTTTTACTTTTATACTTTTAGTTTTAAAACCAGTACTTTTATACTTTTACTTGAGTAAAAAGTTTGAGTTGCTACTTCTACTTCCAAAAACATATTTTTAAACTCTAGCATCTATACTTCTACTTAAGTAATGAATGTGAATACTTTTGACACCTCTGCTCACATCGAAGTTCTAAATTCCAAAGCTGCAGCCATTTTTGGCCAGTCAATATTTGATAGCTGCTTTAAGAGTTTTCTAATAGCCAGACAAATTGTTTTAGCTGAACCATACCCCTACAGTCATTAACCATTTTGGCCACTATGTCCAAAAGCTTTAACTAAGATAGTACCCATTTGAATTCCATGTCAGTATAGATTTTGAACTTAAAATGCATATAACATAACAATTTAAAATGTAAATTCTTCTCATTCTCATAATCAGGTCTATTGTGCTCACACTTGTCATATTACAAAATGGTTAGTTAAAGGCAGAACCATGCATGTTAGCTTATTTTTGGGCCCAAATCTCCCATACAAAAGAGATCTTTGATCTCAGTGGGCTTTGTCTGGTTAAATAAAGATAGATTGAAAAAAAATTGCTCCTCAATGTAATTTAATTTCTTCAGTTAGTACATTACTTTAGCATGGATTCTGCTGGGAAAAATCCACGGATTTGTTGTAAATTCTACTTTGTTTTCAATGAGCTGTCTGGAAACTAGAAGCAGTGCAACTTGACATCTGTGGTGTCTTTGCAGGAGTGATAAATTTTGAAGTTATTCAGTCGAATGTCAGACGAGCCATTGCAGGAAAGTTCCCACTCTACTGTCTTGGTTTTGGGTTTGATGTCAAGTTTGAGTTRCTTGAGAAAATGGCACTGGAGAACAATGGTGCGGCAAGACGGATTTATGAAGACTCTGATGCTGATTTACAGCTGAAGGTATCTCCCTACACCTTATTCTTGCTTTTTACTTATTGTTTTGTTGCATCCCCACCTTTCCTAAACACAAAACAAGAGTTTCCACCATTCATACTGCATCATTACTGTATGTTAACAGGGTTTCTATGAAGAAGTGGCCACTCCTCTATTGACAGATGTGATGATGATCTACATTGGTGGAACCAATTTGACCCAAACTAATTTCAGTCAGTACTATAATGGATCTGAGATTGTGGTGGCTGGTGAGATCATGAACAATGACATTGACACCTTCAGTCCACAAGTTGTGGCCATTTCAGTAAGAATCCGTCCTCAAATCAATACAGTTTTTCCTGAACTCTAGTGAAACTCCTTGTATCCTGACATTATAATGTTATTTACTTTATAACAGAAAAGTAGAACAATGACATTTTCTAACACCGATACCCCTGTGGAGCCCTCTAATGAAACTGTGGTTGAGGGTCGCCTTCAGAGGGTCTGGGCCTACCTTACAGTAAAACAGCTTCTGCAGAAAGAGTAAGTGTGATAAATCTGTTATTTTTTATTTTTGTTGCGAAAAATGTACTTTAATATCAGCATTAAAATATGTAAACAGTTTCCATTAAATTGTGATATAATATTRAAGAATTTGTCAGGTTTTGCACAAGGCAAGCATTAACAGGTTTCACTTTTGTTGCTAAAGACAATTTTCTGACAGAAATAATCATCCTTTACCACAATTAGACAGACCACATAACTCTGTGCTGGTGACTTCTGCCAAGACCAGCACTATAATATTCAGTTTGTCCACAAAAACAAATGCCTAAAAGATACTTTTCTTGACTTTGCTTTTTTTTTAACACCCTTGTCCTGACTGGGAGCACTCCACAAATTTTTTTTGAGTGAAGGTGACTCAAAACCAACTCTCTGTTTTAAAGGAGGTGCATTATGTAATTTCCAGGCACACAGTTCAATTCTATACCATAAACATGTAACTACGTCAACATCAGTTATGAAAAGTATTCTTAAGAAATAATTTCATGCACTAATTATTTTTTAATTGATTACAGTAAAATAAAAAAAACATGACATTATCATTCTGTACATTGATTATCTATTTAATACCTGTAAAATTGGCTGAACTAGGGTTGATCAATTGTAGTGGCCATCTTGAATACAGTRAGCAGTGAAACATTGGTAGAAATTCTTCTAAAGAAGATTTCTGAAAGTTTCTTTGAGCTGTTTGTGTGTGAAACTTTGTTCACACACAGATTTGTGGGTGGTAAAGATAATTTTCATTTTTCATMTCCTGCTTTTCATCCCAGCTGTTATAATTTTACAAGATGTTGTGACGCAGGTTGCTGCTGTCTGGGCCTGAGAAAGAAAAAGTGAAGAAAGAAGTTTTGGAGCTGTCGCTGCWGTACAACTTTGTGACCCCACTCACATCCATGGTGGTCACCAAACCTGAGGGGGAGAACACACAAATCCTTCACAAACCAAAGGAAGGGGAAAAGGGGGGAGCGGTAGATTTAATGCGTCATGGAATAAGTGCAACCGCTACAGGACCTCAAAGACATGGTTTGAACTAATGCTGTTGATTCTAAAGTAGTTTTTTGTGTTCTGATGGAATTATTATCCAAAAAATAATATAAATTTTCTTTTTGTTTCTTAGGAGTTTATGGATTACCAGGTATATGTATGCACACATTGTTACCACATGACATATGTAATACACTGCAGTACAGTTGCACTGTGATCAGCATACATGATACACTCTCATTTTGTTATACTTGTAAACATATTTTCAATTTATAATGTAAAGCAAGGAAAATACATGAAAAATATGGTTCTTTGAATARAAATGGAAAGTATAGAATTCTTTCATGGTTCTAACTTTGTTTAATGTAATATAATCTGACAACAAATCAGAGGAGTTTGAACCAAAGACAAAAGCTGATCTTTACTGATCTTACATAGGAACTTTACCAAAACTTCATCTATTTATGTTTTGTTATAGAAACAACAAAAGTGCTCCAGTTGTTTCTTTAAACAGAACTCTGTTTTTTTTAGCACAACTTTACTATGCAGCCTTTAAAATAAGGTTTTATAGATTTAAAACTGTACTTTCGTTTTTTTAATTATCTTATTTATTTTCAACAGGGTTATCGTTTTCTGGTCAGTCACGTAAGTCAGATTACACAAATGAGCGATGCCACAGAATTTAAAGTTTGTTATGATGTTTTTGTCTTTGTGTGTGAGAGTTTGTTGTAAATTTGTTGTTGACTTCTTTCATCTAAAGAGCTTTTTTGTAAGCATGAATTGACTAGCGAATAAATATTAAGGTGTTTTGTCCACACTTGGCACCATCTAAACAAATTTATTATTTATTGTTTTTTCCAAAGTTTTAAACAGTCAAAATGTACTTTAATGTCATGCCTTTCTGTTTTGTACAGCAACACATGCAAGGTTTACTACTCAGCATTATGGACCTCCTCCTCCTAGGGCTCCTCCTATTTTTGGTAAGACTAACACACACAATCTGTTAAGATGCATTTGTATTTTACAGTTTATTTATCAAAAGGAAATAGTGATCATGGTGGACATATTCCAAGCTACACATTATAAATATGAATACGAGTGAAAATACACTTATGAGAACCAAAATTTATTATTTTTTTCAATATTTCAGTCTATATTTTGACATTAAAGTGCTGTAGGCTTACGTTTACTCCACAACATTTCACTTGTTCAAATTCTTGATATATATACAGTATATATATA